AAATATTCATGTATATTAGAGTAAAGCCTGATGACGATCTAGTCGAAAACAATATTGTTCGATTATATGTGTTGTTCTAACTCGTAATAGTTCAAGCGTCTCAAATGACGTGTTTACGTGCATGTGTAACAGAGAACAATACAATAAAAAGAGAGGGAGGGAACTAAATGGTTTGTTATGGTCAGCATTTTTGTTATTGAGCTAGTTTTCTACGGAATAAGAGTTGCTAACTCCATGCCCAACCCTCCTCCTTAATCCGTAATTGAGACCGGTTGTAGACCCAAAGGGGCTCCAGGCGCAGTTAACAAAGCAGTAGAAATATTTTTTTACATTAAATTCTTCTATATAGAGAGTATTCAGTCCAACATTAAGATTATTCTCATCACTGATTGATTTTAAAAGAGGTTTTGGTACAGTTTTCTCCTGTTAATAAATTTGAATATCAATCCAGAATAATTAACCTAAAACGATAACTTTGCAATGACTGTATTTCATGGTTTCTTGTCAACGCTGCTTACAACTTCAAAATTAAAATCAGGAATTGATCATTGTTGGGCAGCCATTAGAAGAAACCTGAAAGCCCTGAATGACCGTTTCGTTCTTGTATAGGGGTTGCCCATCCACAGCCTCCACTCACGGGACCACTGAACCTGCATCTAGTGGTATTAATGCCGAACTTCAATCAATCCAAGGAATTACGAAACCTCTTTGATAGTCTTCAATGGGCAACTACTAACTGGTTCACATTAGACACAGTTGACCTCTACTGGTCACAGCTTCTCACTAGAACTCCGAGAATTTCTTCACAAAGGGAGTCACTACTAGTGAGTGAGCACATTCATAATTTCAATTAAACTCAAAAATATCCATAACTCTTTAATAACAATCGTAATAGTATCAATCATGAAAAAAAAACAACAGTATGCATACTTCGTATATAACATAATATTGGAAAAAGTTCTCATCAGTGAAGATTAATGAAACGAACAATTAAAGACTGTTAAGGATAATACAGCTATATATATACTACAAATAGTATATGAATATTTATGCGTTATACTTCGGATTCGTTGGTCAGACACCATCAGCAACAATGTACTGTGGGAGAGAACAAATCAGATTCCAGTGGAGGAAGAAATCAGGAAGAAGCGACGGAAGTGGATAGAACACACACTGCGAAAAGCACCTAACTGCGTCACAACACAAGCCTTCACATGGAACCCTCAAGGCAAAAGGAAAAGAGGAAGGCCAAGGAACACATTATGCCGAGAAATAGAGAAAGATATGAGAGGAATGAACAAACATTGGACAGAACTGAAGAGGGAAGCCCAGGACAGAGTTGGTTAGAGAAAGCTGGTGGGCGGCCTATGCTCCATTGTGGGTAACAAGCGTAAGTAAGTAAGTAAGTTACATCTACGTTACATCTGCGTTACATCTACGAACATTCTGGAATAAACAATTATGAACAACGATGAAACTGAAATATCTGAAATGAAGATCATAATATTACAGTTATGCAACACTTGAAACAAAATTGACTGAGTACACAGATTAAGTAGGAATTGAAAATCATTAACTCATCAAAACTATAACAACAAAAAACTAACTACGTAATAACACTTGTGAATGAGATCATCATATCAAAGTAAGAATGATAACTGATTCTTTTCAAAAAAAGAAGGTTTAGTTTCAATCTCCTAACTATAGCAATGACTTCAATGATCTTACTTACTTACTTACCTACTTACTTATGCCTGCTACCACTAATGGAGCATAGGAAGCTGACCAGCATTCTCCAACCTACTGTATCCTGGGTCTTCCTTTCTAGTACTGTCCAACTGTTGTTCATTCTTCTCATGTCTTTCTCTATTTGTCGGCGTAATGTGTTCCTTGGCCTTCCTCTTTTCCTTAAGGGTTTTCTTAAGGGTTCTATGTGATGGCTTGTCTTGCGACGCAGTTGGGTGATTTCCTATATATGTCCTAACCACTTCCAGCGCTTCTGCCTGAGTTCTTCCTCTACTATAATCTGGTTATTTATTATATTCCACAGTAGGTTGTAGCTGATGGTATCTGGCCGATAGACCCTCAGTATTTTGCGTACACAACTGTTAATCAACACTTGTATCTTCTGGATGATAGCTCTGGTAGTTTTCCAAGTTTCCGCTCCATACGGTAGAACTATCTTTACATTTGTATTGAAAATTATGACTTGAGTGTTGGTTGATAGTTGTTTATAGTTTCAGATGTTGTTAAATTGTAAAAACTCTGTCCTTGCTTAACCGATCCACGCCTTCACATCTGCATCAGATCTACGTCGCTTATTAGTGATTCCGCACAGATATTTAAAGGTTTCTACATCTTTGAAAGCTTCTCCATCAAATGAGATTTTGTTGTTACATGTTGTGTTGTGTCGGTGAATCTTGCTTTTCCCCTTGCGTACATTGAAACCTACGGCTACTGAGGCTGCTGCTACACTGGCCGTCTTATCTTGCATTTGTTATTGTGTGTGGGATAGAACAGCTTGATCGTCCAGCTGCATCTTAGCTGTCCACTGTACCTCGTTCTTTCCCCCCTCCCCAGATGTTGATATCTTCATAATTCAGTCGACCCTCAGGAGGAAGAGAAAGGGTGAGAGTAAGTAACCTTGCCTGATACCGGTCTTCACTTGGAACTAGTCTATGAGTTGTCCTCCATGGACGACTTTGCAGTTTAATCCATCATAAGAATTCCGCAATGCATTTTACACAAGACGTTAAACTCCACAGGTAGTAATCAAACCCAGTCTCACGTGCAAACGCCAAACCTTTTGACTACTGAGGCAGTTACTTACCGGAGATAATGGACGATGGTCACAGAATATCTTGGATCAGTGCAAGTTGCACGTGAACACCATCATATATCATATCAGTGGTCAGGAGATTAACCGATTGCATACGACACTCAATGTACCGGGCTCACCTCCTACCTGAGAGATTGTGTACGAACATTGCTGATGAGTCACATACTAGGATGAAACTGTCGTCCATTGCGTCCAGATTTCCAATAGTGATCTAACATTGATCGATTCATGATTGCAATGAAATTCAACAATCTCCACAACTCTATACTGACAAATATTGTAAAAGTTTAACCTTTAAAACTAGTTTCCGTATTATTAACTAATGATAGTTTTATTAAACTATTATTAAGTTACTGGATTATAAAGTCTAAAGATGTTTCATTTACCATAGACTTTCATTGAATCTAATAACTGATATTATATGACTTTTTATTCTTAATCTGTTGTCTAATCACTTACTCTCAGCTTGCTTTTTATATTTACAGCCACTTCTGATTTGTTTATCAGTATTGGAGCTTATTTAATAGATGTTGCAGTTTATTTGTTCATGAATCTGACGTACACTTGAAATGTGAAAATAATAAAGGCATACTGCTGGCTTCTATAGATAGATCGATAAAGAAGGACTTATGGGTAACAAGATCTAAGATTTCAATGCATCAAGGTGATTGGAGCAGTAAATGTGGTCAGTTAGTCAGTCAGTTGCAAAGTAGAACTTCGTACGTAAGTACATCAGTTCATGTCGCCATACCACATCAGCACAGAGATGTAATTGTCAATTCAAATCCAATAGTAGAAGAGTTAGTATGGGTATTAGAAGTAATCGGAGAGGTAAGGATGAGAAGATATTATTCAAGAAGCATGATTCAGTGAGAAAAGTTTAGAAAGTCAAAACTAGAGGTGTTGAAGAATCCAGAAGATTACAATTTGAGAGAACACAAAGAATAAATGCACTGACGCCATTGCGAACGATTTTGAGCCATGTCATTCAAAGTCTCTAACCATCGATCATTATCATCTCGCGGACCCCAACCAGGTAGTCGACAATTACCAACATGGCTAAGTCCACTCGTTAATGACTTCATGGATTTCTGCCATGTTTTGGTCTGGCCGCCACTAACTTTCTTCCAACCTATTCCTACACTAAAAAACAAAGCTCGTCGAGGCAGTTAGTGGTTGGGCATACGCAACACATGTCCCAACCACCTCAACTGATGAAGTTTCATTACTTCATCTATTGATCTGCCATTCTTACCTAGCATCCGCTTCCTAATAACAGCATTGCTTACTCGGGTGTCCCACGATATACGAGCAATGCTTCGAAGACACCTATGATCGAAAACCAGTAACCTATGAATATCTTCTACTCTCACTGGCCATGTTTCACAGCCATAAAGTAAGACGGAGCGAACTACTGCGCAGTACACTCGTCCTTTAGTCAGCAAACGGATATCTCGCCTACGCCATAAGTGACGCAGGTTGGCAAAATCCAATCGAGCCTTCTGTATCCGTGCTGAGATTTCGTCAATCACCAGGCCATCGGCATTGATGAGACTCCCAAGATAAGTGAAGCGGTCAACACGCTCGACTACTTCACTCCCTATCACTAGTTCAGGTGCCGGTAGTAAATGTGGTTGGGATAATTATTCTAACCGATGACCTTAACGTGTGATACGAATCAGTGACCTCAAACGAAAACAAATATCGGACTTCCAAGGACGTTTTCACATTCTATCACTGACGACAAGAATTTGTCGGCTGAATAATGAGTCAATCTTTTCTAACACCCCTCCCCCAGCTGTAACTGTGTACCCTAGGAAGTACAGCTTCGTTTTAGGACCATGGGTTTGTTACTGTTATTGTTGTCACTCTCCAACCGGCTTACGTGGCGTGAAGGGATGAGTTTTCGAATCAGTAAAACTCTATTACCATGTAAAGGCAGCTGCTATAATGACAGGAGTTACCAAGAATGGATATATTACAATTTAACTGCAACTACACGATGATTCCTAAACAGGGAAGCACTTAACTATTAGATTCCTCTAAAAAAAGTTTACAATAGAATAAATTTGAAAAAGAGACTAAGTTTACCCACAAACACAAATGTTCAGCATACCTCAGAACAATTCACTAAGCCACAACGAGCAGCTTGATAACGTGCAAATTTATGAATATATTGTACAACTTGAAATGCTTCATCAACCGGAATGTTAGACTGAAGGCGTTTAGCTAAATCTGAAGCAGTCATAGCAGCAAATTCAGCGTCGTTCTTAATAAAGAAAAGAAATATAATCGGAAATAACCTATAACTACTAGTATTATAACGAAAAAGAGGTGTGAACAATATTTGCTCAAATATAGACCTCTAAATAAGTAGCCTGAGTAACAGTCTCAAAAATTTGATACCGATTGCGAAAACCAGAGATAGACTAACTAGCCTAAAATTTTAATAAAGTCAGTGAAAATAATCATCTAATTTCTTTTCTTTGAACAGGTTTTATAGCTAGCAGTCGGATTTATGACGCATATTTAATCCTGTTTGGGGCTTGTTAGATAAACATACTTGAGGAAAGTACTTTCATCAAGTTCCAATCTGAATATCAACACTGGGATCTAGGTACATACACTTCGAAAGAGATTAAATTAACAGTTTTTGAACCTCTTGATTCTATTTCTAGTCAAATTGTATCTATTTTGTGTAAAACGTGTAACATAATGGCTGTTATAAAGAAATAGTCAACAAATGAACACGTAAATCAAAGGAAGATTAGTAATAAAACAATAATACTAATACATTTAAAAATCTCTAAATATCTCACTTTGTAATCAATAAGATCTTGAATTATTTCATTCAGTTTAGACACAGGTCCAGATAGCTGTTCAACTGAAGAAAAACATTCATGGAATGTTGGTGTAGATGTATCAGACTTTGAAGAATTCACAGATACACTATATTGAAATTCTTTGGAACTTTGTGAATCATATACGTGTGAATGTTTTTTCATTGTGAGATTTGTGAGAGGAACTTCGTCAAAAGAATCAAATGTAAGAAATATATGAATTCACAAAAGTAAGCAACATCTATTAAAACAAAAGAGACAATAAGAAATTAATTATAAAACAATTTGGCAATCATCAAAGCAGTTGATGTAATGAAATTTTGAATATATTTTAGTTTTATATTTTTGCATTGATTACACGGATTTAGGTCTGTTATGTTGATTTCAGCATTTTAAGGTCTGTTAAACAAGCTTACAAACAAGAATCCAATTTATCAATGCATTCAAATCATAATATAACGCTTAAAACACATCTTAGTGGTACGATATATAAAATATATATGTTATATTACAATAAAAGGTATCTTCATCCTTTGTTATCTGAACATAAAAACTATTTTTCACTATTTTTCTCATTCAAGTACTTGTTTTGCATATCTAAGTCATAATATAGCTAGCTACCTTGATTCAGCTTTTGACACTTCAGTAACCGGATGTGGGATAAAGTACTTTTAAAAGATGGGAGGCTCAACAAACAGAGTTAAAAGTCTAATTTGTGAATTTCCGATATAAAATTTTCGGGCGTGTAAATTCTATGTTAATGTTAAGTAAGTCAACGGGTCTGCAAATAAAACCTAGTTCATGTGTTGAGAAATTTGTAATAACCATGTCCCTTCCTTGCCGGTATAACGGTTGAGAAAGTCTTATCACTCAATGTTTTTTTACCCTTCCTTCAACACTTTTTAAACAATAACCAATAAAGTTAACGTTTCTTGTATCTTAATCCTAATATTTTTAGTAATTGATATTCGAAAATAATAGATCTTTCTGTAGTGTCTAACATTCCACATCACGTCTTATTTGCGTTGCTAAACATCATCTTTGGCTTTAACCGTTCCTGTCACCACTAGTAAACATGCAATTTTACCATCAATCGATAATATTTATTTATCATGATTAGTTGCGCAACAGGTTTCTTTACTATTGCGTGGCTACGAAAATACTTTTAAGTATAGATTAATACTGATTTATCCAATAATGAAGTATGATTAGAGGCTAATATAAACAAATTCTGTTCAGATAGGCTTCGTTATGATAACCAAAAAGTCAATGCTTATTTTACCTGAAATTTATTACTCTTTGCTTCATAACAAGCAGTCCTCACATAAATTCAACCATCCTTCGTTTATCTTAAGAACTGAAGAAAACAGAATTATGGTTGTGATTTATTAATCACTTCCGGGTATTTTTAAATCAGCATTGTTTATGAGTGACCTTTAGGAATGAGTCAAGGTAAAAGTTTCAATGTCCAATATTTTCGAAACCAGTTGCAATCCAATAGCCAATATATATTTGAAATCTTTGTCACGGGTTTGTAAAACAAATTGATTTGTTTGTGCTTGGTTCGTGTTGTTTCAGTTCAGCACTAGGTGTTTTTTGATATCTGGTGGATGGTTTTTTAGCCACTTGACTTCCTAAATGCTTAAAAGTTGACAGTTGTTTAAGAATTCGTATGTCCGGCGATTTGCGTAATTGCGTATTTCCCAAAGCACTACGGTTTCTGGAGACAAACAGCCATTAAATTACTAGGCCGAAGATTATTTAGTTGCAATGTGGAGTATAATGATAAAATTCTGATGCTAATAAGATTTCTTAACTATGAAAAGAAATAAGTTAATTAATTGATAGTTAAGATTGATCGAGCGGACCAAAGTATAAACAAGGAAGAGGAAGCAAATAATATAAGCGGGATAGAACAAGTTTGCTATCTTGGGAAATGGAATTAATAACAGTTTGACAAGTTTCAAAACATTATTCAAACAGATGATCCAAGCGGAAATGTTACGCATTCTCGTAAACACGTCATTGATGGGCTTAAACTATTGCGAGTCTACCCTTGTCAAAAAATAAGAGCGAAGATCGAGGATCCGGCGACACGACACGCTTCTCTAATATGAGTGTCCCAACCCTTATTGAGTGAAAGAAGAAGACTTGATATGAAGTAGAACATGTATTCTGCAAGCATCCAGAAAGTATGAGGTCCGAGTCTAGAAGAAGACAAGGATCCCGGATCCGATTCCGGGCCACAAAACGTTACAAATAATGCGTATTTATACAATTAGTTCGAATAGGAAACAGCACCGAAGTCAGTGACATTGACAGACATTTGAAGTGACACTGATAGTCGGGACGGCCAATAAGAAACAACATTGAATACATGATCTTGATAGGTCATACGATCATAACATTTATCAGTAGGAATCGACCAATAGAATTTACACTTACAAAACGATTCTTCGTAGGATATTTAGTGAATATCCTAACAGGGAGATGATAATCTGTACCTAGTTTCTTGTTTTCTAAGGCTCTTCCTGAATTTTCCACTGAGATGACTATAGTGACGTCAGCTAGGGGGGCATTCAGAATAGCTAACTCCTAACGAGAAAACTTGTGTTCGCTCTTTGGTGTACAACGTTTCGAGGATCACTCCGAGGGGCGTGGTCGTGATGCCCAAGTAAGATGCTAATGTTGGGCTGATCATGCTTTCTAATAAGCTGTACGTCATCATCATATCAGCTCTGATTCTCTTGTAACTCTGCGGAAGTAATCCTGAGTTTTGAAGTTCATTTCAATAAGATTTATATCTTAATCCCATCGCAGACTAGGTTGCACGTCTCTCCACCAGATCCAGGAGATTAAAGGGAACAGAGTGCGATGACATTATTAACCTCAAGGTTTTGGCGTGTATCTGTGTTGGATAGAGTTCGGAACAGTTGTAAGGTCACTGCACCAAGTTTTCTGCGCATAAATTGAAGAATTACCCGTTTGCATTTTCCATGCCAATTAAAGTCGTGTACAAGCTCTCTGCGGTTGTTAGACCGAGATCGGGCTCTGAAGAAACATTTCAGAGTGAATTTCTCTTGAGGATTTAAGTTAGTTGTCATATGTTGGGCTAAAAGTCGATTATGTGACAGTTTGACTGTTGTAATTATAACCCATAGTCTACTGCACATTCCTCAATATCTGTACTGTCCTTTTGAGGCTCGAATGATTGCTACTGTCTTCGTATTGAAGCTCCCATATTCGCCCCATCTGCACACGTTGGTGCGACAAAGCTGATTTTATCTAAAAAGTCACAATTAATTATCACAAAAAATATTGAAACTTTCGACGTTTGAACCAGCCTGCTTTACTTTCTTATCTGTCATGATCTCCGAAAACCGCCCATCGTATATCAAACAGTGGTGGATGTCCTTTAGAATGTTTGAAGAAAATTAACACATCCTTAGGCAAGAACTTACGACTTGAGTCTCACTAAACTTGTTTATTCTGTGGTAAATAAACATGTGTTGAAATTTGTAAGGATCTGTCTTATAGCCCACATAGTTTTGAGCCTATTTACTCCAACCGTACAGTAGTATGTTTTGGTCGTTAGATTATGGCTCATTATTACACCTAGATCACTTCCAGATAGAACCGGAGGAATCAATGCAGTATCTATGACGTTTTATCTGCAATGCGTTCATGCTAAATCCTGATTATATATCAAAGAGTAACATCATTGATTTTAAGATATACGTGTTTAATTTACACAACAGTAAAATTTATGTTTTCAATGAGGAACATTTGGAATTTATTAAATCTTTCCAGCCAGAGCTATCAAAAAATTTTTCATTCCAGGTAATGGCAACCTGGCGGTTGGATTGGTAATTCGAAATTCTGGTTTTGAAGCGCGGTAGGACGACAAACCCGAATATTTGTACAAAATTAACAGGAGAGCCTAAATTTTACTCAGATGCCTACAGTTTGCTCTTTGATTGCGATTTAAAAATCAAAATTGAACGTCAAACTATTACTTAGTACAAATATCACAGCAAACATTCTACCAAAATGGTGTGATAATGAACATAACCGAGGTAAAAGTAACGAACAGATGAGGTACAAGTTTTTGCGAAACGAGTTATTCCGAGACCTAGCCAAAAATGGTATTTACTATAACGGTTATCAGTTAGTTGAATATGTTGAATCCCACATGCAACAAAATCGCTTATATTTGGGGATTTATTCAGCGCTGAAGCTCACCATTCTCCTATTAGAGTAGTGATGACCCAAAGCCTTGAACTGCCGAAAACTTCAACACAACATTCATGACTTGGGTTGTTTGATTCGTCCATCATTATCTGATCGTCTTTTCACATCGAAGAACCAATGTGGTTCGTAATAATATGTAAAAGAATTACGATAACAAAGTCAACTGGTCGATGATGATGTTGTTTTTACTCACTTCGTACATAGATTAGCAACGTAACTGTATCCCTATTTTCGACAGTGCAGCAATGACGCACTAAATCAACGGAAAATCCCCGAAGATCTCACACTTTTATTGACATTGAGACAGTTTAAGTTCCTTATGCGTGCGCTGCTAGATTACCTAATATTCTCCCACAGCTTGGTAGAAATACTCTAAGCCGTCGAAGTTTATCTTTGTAAAATTCGCTTCTCAGTCCTAAGTTCTACTTAGTTGCTTATCTCTGGACACGGTCTCAGAGATTTATATCTCATTTCATTTTAATTCACTGTAAGCACTTTTAAATCAGCCTGTAGCCCTGCTGGGTTTACTGCAGGTCAGAAGCCTGGATAAGGGAGTATATCCTATATCCAATATCTTTCTCACGAGCAAGTATAAACCAATTGATTTATTTGCGCTCCATTCTTGTTCTTTCAGTACGGTTCCAGTTGTTTGGTAGTGTCCATTGTATGGAGTAGGATTGGGTTAACCACATCCACGTCTCATGCTCGTAACCTTGCACTATTACAAGTAGATCTGGAAAATTATGGGGAAAAAGAGCTCACTCATAACTTTTTGAGTTACAGAGCTAAAAGAAAAAGAATTAATGAAATATCGGTAAAACATCAGATAAATGGGTTTCATTATTACGTTCTTCGAATCAACGTTGTTTCATCACGTCTTCATACTCCTTAAACATTATTTTGGTTATTTTACTCCCAAGCCTATGAATTTATTATCTGACGAGTTTCAACATTTACCTCATCCATTCTTCTTATATGCAGACTTGGATTTACTTTGCATTGGTTTCCAACCATCAGTGGTTCGTCGCGAAGTAACCATCGTGACTCGCGCAAAATATCGAATTGTACATTCCCAAGTCTGAAAAATTATCTATCATTTTATTTGAAACCTTTTAGCTGTACATATGAAGCCAATGTATCTTGTGAAATGTTTACGTAACTGAACAACATCTTAAAGACAATATGTTAGAAAGTTTGCCATTTTTATCATATCTGTAAATTTGCATACCTCTTCTAACGTTTTATTGTTATTTGGGAATAAAGTTATCATTATATTAATATTTATTATCAAAACCGTGAGTTCGGTGATCACATACGCAACCACAGATCACAGTTTCCTGCCAGAACTAGCTCAGCCTGATACATTTAAAACAACATATCCAAGATTATTATATCGTCTACCATAAACCTATCTGGTCTGGGGTATTTTAGCAACGTTGATTGCTACGGAATGAGGTTGCGATCCTCATTTTCAAATCTTTTTGTTTACAACAATTAGTCCCTTTTATAAATTTTGATAGAACAGTGAGAAGACGTAATTGATCTGAAAAATGTGATGTATTTGCGCTATACATTTCGAACAATCTGGTCACACATATTTACTTGTCAAGGCATTTTATAAGATGAATAAAAGGTCAATTAAATAAAAGTTCAAATAGACATAGGGTGATAATTGTAAATAAAGGAGAGAGAAAATTAACGTAATATGAAAAGAATCAGAAGGGGTAGGAAAATTGTCACATTACCCTAGGCTTAAAGATTACCAAGGTAAATTCAAGGTTATGACAAATTGTTTCTGCACACATAAAGGGGGTTTTAATTTTCTAATAGCCAAGGCCTCCATAAACCTCAAAATTCGTCCTTCAACATTTCTATACAATGTTTTGAAGGCTGTCTTAATGTCAATCTTATGCCCTGTCTTAATTATGTGTTTGGCGATCGATGAACATGGTTTTCTATTTCCAACGTTAATCGGCTCATCTGACGTTAACTGATTGTGAGGCCACTTAGGTACATGTTCCACAACCCTTGATTGCAAAGTCCGATTACTCCTCCCTATGTATGTGTCCACACAAACATGTAAATTGATAAATACATTGGGATATGATGTAATCATTAGAGCAACGTTTAGGTATATGAGAAATCATGGACTTGGTCTTTTCAGTGATAATCAG